TGGATTCAGCTTCATGTTGTACTTTTTTAAGTTATTGAAAACTTCCTGGAGATGCTTCGGATGGTCCTCATTCTTCACACTTTTGACCACCATGTCATCTATATATGCTTCAATTGTCTTTCCCAACAGATTGTCAAAGATCTTATTGACAAAACGTTGATAAGTAGCCCCAGCGTTCTTCAGTCCGAAGGGCATGACCCTGTAACAATAAGTCCCCTTTTCTGTAATGAAAGCCATTTTTTCTTCATCTTCAGGGTTCATAGGAATTTGATTGTATCTCGAGTATGCATCAAGGAATGTTAGCCTCTCGTAGCCAGTGGTAGCATCAACTATCTGATCTATCTTGGGCAGAGGGAAGCTATCTTTAGGGCAGGCTTTGTTAAGGTTGGTATAGTCTACACAAACCCTCTACTTTCCATTCTTCTTCTGTACGACCACCACGTTTGACAGCCACTGTGGATATTGCACTTCTCGAATGAAACCTACTTGCAACAACTTATCCACTTCTTCAGCTATAATGCGATTGCGTTCGGGGGCAAACCTTCAGTGTTTCTACTTAACCGGTTTGAACTCCAGATCCATCTTCAAGCTATGGCAGGAAACTAAAGGATCGATTCCTACCATGTCCGAGTGATCCCATGCAAAAGCATCTGCATTGCTCCGAATAACATCAATTAACGCCTCATTTTCTTCAGACGTGGAGGAAGAGCCTAAATAAGTGACCTTCTGAGGGTTGCCGAGGATAACTTCCACGGCTTTAAGGGTCTCCTCGGTGGGCTTCGTAATTTCCTCTTCCTTCTCTACCTTAAGATGCTTAGGCAGAGGGCTCTGTAATTGCTATTTGGGTATATTTTTGGAGGTCACACCTGGTTGCTGCTGAGTAGACACCTTCTTTGCTTCAGCCTGTGTCAACATATAGCATTCCTTCGCAGCAACTTGATCGCTCCATAGATTAATCACTTCTTTTCCGTCCGGAGATAAGCACCGCATTACCTGGTGAAGGGTGGACAGAACTCCTCTCATCTGGTATATCCAGCATATTCCCATGATGAGATTATAAGAAGGATGGATCTCCGTTAAAACAAAGTTCTCCTTCAGAGTCCTCTTCGCCGCAGTTACGGACAAGTCTATTACTCTAAGGGGATCTACTCTTGTGCCATTGAATCCCATCAACGGGCTGGAGGTAGGTAGAATAGATGATGACGAGATCTCTAGCTGCTCAAAGACCATCTTTATGATGATGTTGACGCTACTTCCTGGATCTATCAAAACCCTCTTGATCATACAATTGGCCACTAAAAGACTGATGACCAATGGATCCTCGTGGGGGAGTTAAACTTTGGATAAGTCGCCATTTCTGAATCCAATACTGATGCTACCCGAAGCGATAGCATTGACCGAGGATATCTTCCTGAGCTTGTTGGCTGCCCTCAATCTGGATTTGTATACCACCTCGGACTCTTGATCATCTTCAGACTTGCCATGTATTGCATGAATGACTTTTACTTGCGTACCTTCCACCTTGTGAGGATAGACCTCGCGGGGCTTTGCATACTCCTTTGTCATGAGGTAGTCTGCCAACTCACCTCTGGCGATCATATTCTCCACCTGTCGCCTAAGGGATCTGCAATCATTGGTTGAATGCCCATAATCACGATGATAAGCGCAATGCTTGCTTTTGTCCCTTTACTCCAGGGGTTGCTTTATTGGCTACGGGGTTGTGAACTTCATCTTATTCTCTTGGAAGAGCCGAGCCAAGGTAGTTCGGAGAGGTGTAAATCCTTCCTCTACCATTTCCCTTTTCTCAGGTGCCTGGGTGATCGGCGTTGAGGTACGTTGGCTTTTCTGAATATTTGAATTTGGAACTCTTTCTCAAGGCTTTTTCTCCACCGTCACGAGGGTGGCGTGCTGTGCTTGGTGGGCTATATTTTCCTTGAGCCGAATGTAGATCTGGGCCCTGGCATTAAGAGTCTGCATGTCGGGAGAAGAATACTTGACCAAGGAAGTGTGGAACTTCGTCCCCTGAATCATCGCAAGTTTAAATGTCTCTATAGCAGTCGCGGGATAACAATCTGCTATTTCTGAGGCTTCCATATTGAATCTTGATAGAAAATCCTGCAATGTTTCCCCCTTCTTTTGCCTTATGGTGAAGAGGCTGGCAATACTCTTCTTTTGCTTCTTATTTCCGCAATACTGTGCCAGGAACATGGTGCACAGAGTTACGTAATCCGGGATGGACTTATGCAGTCTATTCCTGAACCACTCTAGTGCTGCTCCTGTCAAGTTGGTAGGAAAAACTCTGCACATCCAAGGGTCATTACAATCATCCAAAGCCATCTTTTGAGTGTAATGATCTAGGTGTCGAGAAGGATCCCCCGTTCCATCAAACTGGGTGAAAGAAGGCATGGTAAACTTCTTGGCCTCTCAACCAGATACATATCGTCAGTGAAAGGAGTTTTGACCAAGGAATTTTTGTGTTCTCTAGCCATCTCAGCAAGTGTCTGAATCTTCAGGAGTCTTTTCTCATCAAAGGCATCCTGAACACCTGCACCATCTGGAATTTCATTGGACCACACCATGAGCTTATGGCTGGATTCGACTTGTTTGTTCTGCGTGCGACGAGGGACGTTGTCTGAAGCCACAGCCTCGGATCTTGCCCTCTGTTGTTGCTGAACCTCATTTGGCTGAGCCTCATTGGGTCGTGCCCCATTAGGTGGAAGCCCGGTAATCGGAGGAATATTCTGATTAGAGGGTGCCGCTGTGTCACCTATTGGTGGTGGTGGTGCCAACTGAGCCATCGCCATTTGCAGAGTGTTATTCTGCTGTTGAAGCAAGACGATCTGAGCCACGCTCGCTTCATTTGCCTGACGAAGTACGTCAAACTGGTGTAAAAACTCTTCACACATCTTCTGCATCAACTCCGTCTATTGATCCGTTGAAGATCCTCCGTTTGACATTCTGGATGGTAGTTGCAGGATTCACCTGTGAAACAAGAGTGGGAATATATTTGCACACGTTCCCATAAACGGCACCAAAATGTAGGTACAAAATTCCGCTCAACCAATTACGATTGAGAGAAAATAATACAACACACTTAACAAATAATAAAAATAAACAATAACAGCATCTATAGAAGAATTGAATTGCTTGTCCCTTTATTGGAGGTCTAGGCCTCTATTTATACACAAAAGTTGGTAGAATTATGGTAGTTTCGCGTTGCTTGTCCTCCAATTCTTCCCTTACATGAGTTTCTTTACAAATAGAATTCTTTCCATTGTATGATATTTCCTACGTAGGACTTGCTTTGTATAAAGAGTTTCCTTCTGGGTTGACCCATTTGCTTAATAGGACTGAGCCATATTTAATTATACTTGGGCCAGATGTGGTTTGGTGTAAGTGACTTGACTAATGGACCAAAACTTCAACAACGATAATGTTGGGTTGATTGATACTCTTGCCTGGCTTTGGATGCCCAAGATAAATGATAATGGGTTAAAGCACAACGTAACTTGGGCTTGATCCGGATGGGCTTCTGAGATCTCCTAAATGCAGATTTGTATAATGGCGACGTGTTTCATTCTTATTGAAGGGAAATTTTTCCCTTTACACGCTGCGTATGACTCACATTCATGATCCTTTTCTGCTGCGCTCAATCCTACTTTCTATGTCAATGGTTATTGCAAACATTGAAAGTAGCGAGGGTTTTATGATTTTGTAATTTAAAAAATAATAATTTTTAATTTTTAATTTAACATTAAATGATAAGGTCAAATTTGTTATTTCACAGTCCGGTTAACGGGTCGGACTCGAATATTGAGACAATGTGATAACTTTATAATAGTGTCGGAGTTTTTAGAAACAGGTTGAAGTTTTATGATCAAAAATTGAAAGTAGCGGGGGTTCTATGATTTAAGCCAAAACTTTAATATGCAGTAATTGTACAACTCTGGAGTATTTTTTATTTGTATAGATATTTCCAAAACTATACAACTCCAGAGTATACTGCATAACTAAAATTTTTATAACATTTCACGCATGTATAGACATATAACCATTCATTATAAAACCATTCTTTATAGGCTTATGATGAGATTCACCCTTTTTTAAAGCAGTCGTGAAACCGCTCAGGTCTGAATCACTTTTACCATCAAAAGGCTAACGTTGCACCCACTATATGAATTCACAATGAATTCATAAGGGTTGAATTGTAGTATGGATGTAGGAATTGTAGTTTTCCAAATAATTTAAGTTACAATTGATTCATTTTCTCAGGGTCATGGTAAAAAATAATAATAATTTAAAGATAGAATTAAATTCAAATTTTTTACTAATTTGTAAAATTCAAATTGAATTAGATCCTTTTGTTTCAACGTAAAGTATTTTTTTTTAGAAAATATTTGTATTTTTTAGGTAAAATATTTTTTTATTTGTACCTTTCGATATTTGGTAAAAGTTTAGGTCGAAGTTAAGATCAAGTCGATCAAGTCATTCGAGCGAGACGTATAAAATAACTTACTAAAAATTGATAGATAAATTATTTTTGTAAAATTTTAATATATATAAATTATTTTTATAAAATTTTAATATATTTTTCCTTCGTAAATATTTTCCGACAATCAACCATAAAAAATAAAAAATAAAAAAAAAATATTTTACATCTAAACAAACAGATCTTAACATGTAATTTAATCTATAATCATTAAAATATTTTACATCCAAACAAACCGACCTTAACGTGTAATTCAATCTCTAATAATCAGTCTTGCTTGGGTTGTGTGATGCTTATTTAAATATTGTATAATATAAAAAGCGGTACCACCATGCATAATACAATTCGAACCCAAAGTAATTGATAAACTATCTAACGGTAACAAAGTGTCAAATTTCCTCTTGCAATGAATGAACACTCTGTAGACATAAAATTACTTTCGACTTATGCGTTGTCCCGTGGGCTTTAAAATTGATAGCCCCTCTCTCTTTTTCTCCTGTTGGCAGTATGAGACGGCACTGCACAGGCCAACTTCTCTCTCTAGACCCCTTTTCTCTCTCTCAAACCTCTCTCTGAGACAACACAAAAAAGCCCTAGAAACTCTTCAATGGCGTTCTCTCGATTCCCTATAAGCAGATCCAGCTCTTCGAACCTCTTCTTCAGCAGCCTCCTCCGCCTGAAGGCTTCACCACCAATGGTCGCCGCCGCTAGATCCTTGGTTGCTCGTTCTATCCACACCGAAGTTCCGCCCAACCATCCCCACTACGAAGAGATTAGACGAACTGTGGGTAAGTACTAAGTAGTTCTCTCTCGGAAAACCTCACAAATCCATTTCATCGATAGATTCAACTTCTAATATATACAGTAGCTAGTTAAATCAGGAAATCGATCAATCTATTAATCTCTTACACCACACACACATATATTTATCCATTGTTGTTTAGTTGTTTATTCGTGCACTGATTGTAGATTATTTTGAGTCGTTGATGAGCGCAAAACACCCATTCATCAAAGAGGGACCGCGAAGCCCCTTCTTCAGTCGGATTGAGGGCGATAAGGTTTATAGGAGGGTAGACATGCCCGGCGTTGGGAAGAGAGTGTATATTGATCCAAGGAGTAGAGAATGGCATTGTGATCCAAGGAGTAGAGAGCAACACCGATGAGGGTGTCCAAAAGAGAGTGTATATTGATAAGCTGGGGATTAATCCGCGTCTGTGGTCAATGGCAGTTTCAATTTCCTCATACAAAACGGCGTCGTCTACATTGTCTTGCGTCTTCGTTCCCTTATTTAATGGTCAGTTGATCAGCTCTTTTGTTGATTCATATTGCGGGTTTCACTATATATGTGAGTGCGTGTGTGTTTAGATAGATATATAGAGAGAGAGAGGAGTTTGTTTTCTTTTGACTTCTAAACTCTGTAATCTCCATGAGTATGACTATGACTATTCAGGGTTGATGGAAGGAATACCATATTAGCCTTTTTCTGATTCCCAACTGATAGTTACTTAGTAATGGCTGGTGAGATTTATTTTTACATTTATTTATTTATTGTTTTCTTTATAATCTTTGTGGGTTGAGAAGATAGAAATGCCTTGTTTGCTTAATGACGTGTTTGTCTGAGGAAAATAAAAAAATGAAAGTGTAGTTGTTTAATGGACATGATTATAAGAACAGAAGTATATATTTGGAAGTCTGTTATGCTAGCTTCTGTATATATATATATATATATATATTCTCTTATAGTTTATAATTACTTCAAATTACACTTTCATCATAATAATAGTGACATTTTCCAGTTTATAATTACTTTGTAATTGTGACATTTCAGTTGGAGCTTTGAAAAATAATAGTTTTGTAATTTTGTTTTGTGTGTGTGTGTCTGAGAGAGACGGTTTCATGACATGCCTCTATTTAGCCAGGGTACATATCTAACTATATGGTTACAAAGATGTACTAAAGATCAATACTATATCACAGATTCCTAATAGAGTAGTTTACAGCACTGTTGGGAGGTTGAATATGAATTAGAATTGAGAGAGATCATATCTGATTTAGAAAATTAGTAGATTCACTGCTAAATATATATTCCAACAAATGAAAAAAAAATTTAAACGAAATTCTATGATCTGGTCGACAAGGAAGTATTATAGTGAATTAATAATTTAGACATTTTCTACAGCAGGCTCTATCTCAATCTCCCTCTCAATTTCTACAAGATCCATGAAATCAACTCTGAGGTGAAGAATGAGATATTGGAGGAAGACCAGAGGGAGGGCGTGTTTCAGGTTGCTGAGGATGAGTCTCTGGTCTACTAGTATGGCTTCTCTGTGTAGTGGATATGTCACCTCTTGGTTTAGAGGAGCTCTTTTAGTGTCCTAGGCTTTTGATGAAAGCCGAATGTTTGTATAAATGAACTATGAGATGAGATTTTTTTTTTTTTGGGGGGGGGGGGGGGGGGGGGTTAACTGGAGTTTAAAGTGTAGTAGTTTCTACTGGAGTTTAAAGTGTAGTAGTTTCTACCTAAAATTTACAATGAAATGAGGGGTATTTTTTTTTTTTTTTTTTTTTGGGTAAAGTACAGTCACAGAGGTTTGGTAAAAGGATACTCAGAGGAAATTTATTTCTTTTTTGGACAAAGACACCTCCTGAAAGTTCAAAAATGGATAAAGACACCCCCTGAAGGTTCAAAAATGGACAAAGATACCCCTTTAAATGAGAAATTAACCAAATTACTCTTTGACCATTTAGGAGATTTTTTTAGATTGGTTAAAAAATTCTCCTAAACGGTCAAAGGGTAATTTGGTCAATTTCTCATGTAAAGGAGTGTCTTTGTTCATTTTTGAACCTTCGGGGGTGTTTTTGTCCAAAAAAACAGGTAAGTTTCCTCTAAATGTCCTTTTGCCAAACCTTAGGGAGTGTGACTGTACTTTAATTTTTTTTTTTTTGGTGTGTGTGTGTGGAAAAACTGGAGTTTGTTATTGTTGTAAGGGGGATGCTATTCACTTCGTGTTGTCTCAGTTTGGATTAACCATGAGTTTAGGGAATGAGGTTTAAAGTTCTGTCACTTTATTTATGTATTGAATTTATTTTTATTTTTTGTCATTGGCAAGAAATTTAAACACTCTTTTTGTTCGTGAGAGACTCGAATCCTCACTTCTCACTTTAGGAGGTAGATGAAATCCTACAAGACTACACCACCACCTTTGATTATTTATGTATTGGATTGGGTGGGTAATTTTGAAGCCAAACTGAGGTGATGGCATCAATGCACTTTGGTAAAGAGTGTTTGGGTTTTGAAGTAATATGGTTGTGTTATCATCAAAAATCAAATAAAAAAATTGATTTGATCTAATCTGAGTTGTTTGGTTTATCAAATGAAAAATTTATAGGGTTAACTTATTGGTGTAATTTGAGTCATGTTTTATCAAATAGAAAAAAATTGTCAAGCTTTTAAATTTTACTTATAAGGAGATAATGTTTGCACATCCCGTCTTTTTTCACCTGGAGTCGGATCTTGGGGGCTCTATTTGTTGTAGTCATAGTCAATTTCCATAATTTACATGTTGGCAAAAGTGTAAAATACCTCCCCAAAGTTTACTCCATCGAGCAAAATACCCTCCTGAAGTAAAAAAGTGAGCAACTTAGTCATAGTAGTTCTGAAATTTAGTACTTTGCCCCCCTCCAGATGTTAGAATCCTCTTTCCGGTGAGATCTGTATAAGTGCAATCACATATATACCCTCTATAATTATCATTTTAGAAAAAAATTCAAAAAACATGAAAATGCATGGTGTCGTTGGTTAGTTACATTAGTTTAGGGCATACAACACTTAATTTAAACAAAACACTTAAGCCCATACTTACAATTAAACAATTAATTCAATTAAACATATAACATGAAACCATATAAACACATAGTCACGTAAGCACCTAAAATACAATAAAATAAATAATTAAATTTCAATTATATTATTTTTAAAATTAGGAGTATTACATTCTTCCCTCCTAATAAAAGGAATTCCGTCCTCGAAATTCACAAAACTCTGAATTATTATTTTTTTTAAAATTCATTTCCGTTCCGTTGTGGATTATGCCTCAAAGTATGGGCTCCACTGAATTCCAAATCCTCATAGAAAATTTATGGGTCCTATATTTAGGATACACAAAAATTAAACTACACGTAGGTTGTATTTAACAACAACTCATCCTTATCCAATTTTTTTTATACAAAGGTATATATCTATATTCCTCCAAGTTCCATAGCATAGATTCGCAAAACTTCTATGCATCCAACCTTAACGTTTTAGTAATGCTAATCTATAGGCTACCGCCTCAATTGATAAACACAATCTGTTAAAAGTCAATTTAATACGTAAAACTGACATTCCTCCAAAACGCACATTGCTTCCTATAGGGAAGACATCCCAATCAACCGTTTCATGATAGAAAACTCCAGTGAACGAGTTCAACTATGTACAAAATCCTACTGCTGCCTCCAAACCACGCGCAATCCATTACAAAGGAGAGTATGTCTCTCCGATGTATCCTTAAACAAAATCAAGGTCTGATTGTACAACCCTTACTTTCATTTAAAACCAACAAATGAGAGGTTTGCACTATAATATACAAAACCTCAAATGTTGTCACACCAACCAACCGTTTCATGATAGAAAACTCTAGTGAACGAGTTCAACTATGTACAAAATCCTACTGCCGCCTCCAAACCACGCGCAATCCATTACAAAGGAGAGTATGTCTCTCCGATGTATCCTTAAACAAAATCAAGGTCTGATTGTTCAACCCTTACTTTCATTTAAAACCAACAAATGAGAGGTTTGCACTATAATATACAAAACCTCAAATGTTGTCACACCAACCTCCTTGTGCCAACTATATGACAGACAAAAACTCCGAAAAGTGAAGTAAATACTTCCAATTATCCATTAAAACCTAGGATATATGTCCTAAGCATATCTTCCACGATCAAATATAATTTCTCGATCAAATCCCCCGTCTAGAGATATGAAGCAAAGTTGTTACTCCAATATCTTCACAAAATTCTTTCAAAATAGCACTTTTCATCCACAATAACGGATATTCACATGCTATAACATACTCCATTATCAGTGCAATATTCAACTGACATGAAACTCCAAAGTGAACATTACCCTAATTAATGTTCATAAATGAACGTACTCAATCCATCATTCTAATCCCATACGGAATAAAAAAAAAAAAAAAAAAATTCCAAATCAATGTCGATGATTTCTACCGACCTTCCAGTCCTGATTAGTCCTACTCCCAATTTGAAATAGGAAGTGGCAAAAATCTCCAATGATATCCGATTATCAATCTGCCATCTTTTGAACGGAATTCCACTGAAAGACAGTTAGGTACTCGTCCTTATCCGTACCTACTCCTCAAAATCGACATTAGATGACTTTATGCAACTTACATCCATTTGAGTGCACCGTGAGAAATTACAAATCGTACATCCCAGTCACTTCGACATTATTCACAGAACCTACTGATCCTCCTCCCGTATTTTAAGCTCTATCTGAGTAAGGTAACACCACCTTTAGGGTCAGCTCCGATATTCTAAGTTGACCTCCTTAATTACCTTGGTAATAGCAAGTGTCATTATTACATGTGCTATAAATTCAACTGATAATTCCACAACTAACCAAAAGATTTTAAATATCACATCGGTTGTTGAGAGCATTCACTTCCATATTTACTTCCACCAGACGGAACGTAATGCAAAATGTGAAACACCACGTCTATCCATCTAAGCCGTCTCGTGATCCATTCTATTCGTATGAACTGATGTCTTACCAGTTCGAAATAGACAAAATTAAGCTGATATAATTTATCAGTCAACCAATATCCCAGCCAGAATCCTGACCCTGGTATAAAATCAGCAATCGCTCAACTAAATCCATGAAAAATGCTCTGTTATTTCCACTTTAGCATAGGAAATGGCTGGAAGGATCTAGTAATCTCTGATGGTCCGTCTTAATTATCTAATAAATATTAGTCTTGGAGATAAAATCACTTTGTCCCTCATTCTGTTTGTCCTCCAAACATGTGTTTTATACCGTGAAGCATCATGTTTCTACCAGGATAAATAAAGAACTAAGAGTTGTGAACACTAGTCCTTCCATCCTCCTTCCATATGTCTATAGAAAGTACCTTTAGTCTGGTACCACCAGTTTTCATCTGCACCCAATGTTTAATTTGGAGCATCATCAAAAGCTAACTCTACAACTGAATCTATGTACCTCTGATCCGTAATAAACTTACCGATAAAGAAAATCAACCAGTACTTCTATTCATCATAAAAAATAAAAAATAAAAAAAAAAAAAAAAAAAAACAATTAGCTAAAACTTTTCCACATATACCGTGCACCTCTTCCTGTTATATAGGTGATCGGTCTCCCTATCTTGTCTTTGACACACCTAGTTTCTGTAAGGTAAGTAAGTGTCAATTAGACTACTTATCCAACCTCAAAAGAATATGGAACCTTTCCATTCTCCAAACAA